AGTATACAGAGTTTCTTTGTACAGTTCTTGCAACTTTTCTATAAGCTTGGAATTATTCCAAATAGATTTTTAAAGGTTGGTGTTTGGCATGCACAAAATATTAAGGGTAATAGAGCAGACTTCTGAAAGCAGAAGGTTTGATAACATCAAGCATTTTGAAGGACTGTTACATGGAAGAAGGGTTAAGACTTTGAATTTGGCTAATCTTATTTTGTGTCAGTCTGCTTTGTGTAATATTACAGCACATCCAAGAGGTCATGACTGGACTGAGAGGTAGGAGTTCTTTAAGCTTTATGGAGTCTTCGGTATCATTCAGAACAGAAAAGTGTGAAGACTGGCACTTCTAAAGATTCATCAGGTAGAGTGAATCAGTGAAAGGGAGTGTAGGAATATGGTGGCAACTTGAGAGCAATGTCCTCTCTAAAGACTTTCAGGTGCAACTAAAGACAAAACCACAGCCCTGCAACAAAACCACAACTGCTGTGTGTTGTGTCTGGCCTGGGAGTAGCCAGTTATGATCCCCTGATCTTACCTAATCCTCCTCTTTTTTTTTTTCAGGTGAGGAAATGGGTACCAAAAGTCACAAAGTGTGTGAGATAATGAAAGGTGTAAATGTGTGCATGTATATCGAAACACATCATATTTAATGAAAGAAATTAACATCCACACATTTGTACTTTTGTACAATTTTGGGTAATATATAATTTTAAGCTGTTTACAAATAACATGTAATGCTTCAAATATTACATAATGTTGATAATACATTTCTAGCAGAAATAAATATATTGCACTTAAAAAGAACTTCATTAGATGTTACTTTATAGTATTAGGCGTATAACTTCTTTTTTCATAAAACATTTCCCATGCCCTTCCCACCACCCCCAGCACACACACTTCATTACAGTGACTGTTCTCACGCAATTCGTTAAGCAAATGAACACAGCAAACAATAGAACTGTGATAGAGTCTACTAAAGAGGCTAGATCCAATTTTATCCTTTAGGAAATAGAAGACCTTCTTTTAGGTTTCTGAAACTAAGAAAAACAACAACTAAATAAAGTATTTTAATGTACCAGAAGTAAAATACAACAAGCTGTATTTTTTGTCCAGATGTACTATTTCACCAAAATGTTTTTATTTTCTTATTATCAGGGGAGGAGGTTGGAATTATCTAAGGGAGAGACAGAGAAATAAGGGCCAGAGAATACTTATGGATTATTTGTCTATCAAATATTTATAAATGAACCTTTGCATATTTAAGCATGCTGAAGAAAGCTAAGTATTGGAATATTTTATAACTGGCATGGAATAGTAGTGAAGAAAGAATGTTATGATTTCCTAAAATTTTAAGAGTTTTTAACCTTCCCTTTGCTTGTTTACATAAAATCCTTACATTCTGAAATAATATAAAAATTTATAAAATCCATCCTCCACCCAAGCCTAGCTCTCTAAAGGAGCCAGCTGAAAATATTTTCTGTCCAGTGCTTCATTTCTGTCCAGTCTAAATTTATAGTATAATATTGTTTTGTTTGTAATAATTATCAATTCCATACACATCTGATAATGAAAACAGTTTTCCTTACTTGGTCAATGGAAGATTGAGTAAAAATATTGTTTTTCTTCCTATATTTGATCCTGTACATTACATAACTGACTTTTTGAACTTTAGTTACTGAGTCATGGCTTGAGTTTGACTGTGTTTTTAATGAGGTGGTAAAGTCACTCCATTTACCTTATTTGAAGCTCAGTTTTCTTAGTATAATTCAGCTTAAATATAAGCAGGACAGCCTGAAAAGCAAATGTGAAATTCAGAATTGGGATAAATATCCTAATATCTCTATGAAAAATTCATAGGCAGTATGGGATGAAGATGCTTTGCTTCTAAGAATACTTTTCTTGGGCTTTTAGAGGGTTTCCTTTTTATCCCCCCAGGGTGGGGCATTGTGGCTGGAGAAGTGCAGTTACAGAGATGTGGATAAGGATGGAGAGAGGAGGTTTTGGAATATCCCACAAAGTCAATGTGACTCTTACACAGGGTGTTTACTAGATGATGCATCATAATCAGGAAGTGTCTTAATATCTCCTACTCTGTGCCCACCTACTAGAAATGGTGGTAGACCTTTAAGACAACATACCATTGTTATAAACTCAAAAGGACCAGCAATGTAATATAAATTCATTAATGTAGACCTTGTTACCTAATAATTTGTGATATGTTGGATACAAACTGGATATGTTTATCTTTATACTGCCAAGGGTGGACAGAGGGGGGAAGACTTACTAAGTAAAAGAAATAAATGAGCTTACTCAGAATTACTGATAAACATTTTCAAAGCATATCACATATGTAGAATCTACTAAGTTATGAATTAATTCTTTTGGATTAGATAAAGCCATTCTGGCAGGGCCACTTTTTAGCAGCAATATATGTTAGCCAGGCTTTTTAATACTGTAATATACCTGGGGGGGGGGACCCTGAATTTATTCCAAATATACCATAACTCATGCTCTTTATTATTCAGTTGGCTTTGTCCCTAGTTATCTAGTTCTTGCAATTGTTTTTGGTAAAACAGACTTTAGAGTTTTAAATGTTAAATACCCAAGGGGTTAAGTAATAATCAACAAGCAGAAGAGCTCAGAAGAACCCTGGTGGGGTCATATATCTACCCCTGGTTTCCAGGACTAGAGTGACTGACCAGGTTAAGCTACATTTCACCTGTGCTTCTTCTTTCTTGTTCAAATAATACCAGATACTTAAAAAGTGTATCCAAGAATTTCAGGTGTGATTTTCCAAGAGCATGCTTTGGTGTCTTAGTCTTTGCTCTTCTCTAAGCGTGCTATTTATTTTTAGTCTTATATTGATTAATTACAAAATAAAGTTATGAATTCAGGACGTACTAGCATAAAACCATATTTAACAAAAATATATAAACCTACTTTTGAGACACACCAATTGGGAAAAATATCAAAATAGTATTAAAATGATCCTTTCATGCTCGTTGAAAAGAAAATTCAGATATGGATTTGCTTTAGTAGACCAGTCATTTATTAGGGTATTAAGTAGTATCATGTAAAATAGTATTTACTTTTGTTATTCTTGCTTTAAGTAGCAGTACTCTGTATTAAAAGCACTGACAACAGGCCAACTATTAAACATTAAATCCCCATCCTAAGCTCTGTGGATATGTACTTTAAACATTATGCATAACTACTTTTTTAAAGAAACGCACATCTGTGCTGTGTTTGAAAACAAACTGCCTGTGGATACTATAGCATAACATGTAAGAAGTTAGAAATAAGCCTACTGTGTCTGCCATAGGACTTTGAGATGTTTGGTTAACGCAGCTGGTGCTTCTCCATAACCAAACCTTGGAATACAGTGGAGAAAGTCAATTGCAAGGTCCAACAATAGCATCACTTAGACAGGCTGTGCCAATTATACCTTGTTTCATAGGCTGGAAATGCCCAAGAAAGTCATTTGATATGGAAAAGCCTAACATTAAAACAACCAAATAAAATCCCACTTGAGTTTGATGTGATAAGTATATTACATTTGACTTCCAAATACACCTCTACTCTCAGCGGCAAGATTTCCCATCTCTTTGAACAGATTCAATACTTTTGTAGTCAGAATGAAGTAGAATGAATATTACATTAAAAATTAAGAATATTGGGGAGCTCTGTGAAGAAGACAGGTTAAATTCTATAGCTAGAATGCATTATATCTAAAATTGAAGGACTACAAATTTCATTAAACCTCTGTTATTAGGGAAATGAACTGTTGCAAAATGCCAAATGTACCACCCTGATTGTAAATGCTTAGATATATATGGCTCAAAAATAATACAGAAATTATATATAACTACAGTATACTTAATTACTATTATAAATTTAAAAGAAGGCTTAAGAAGATAGGAAGAGTTGAAAATAAAGTGGATAAATCCTTTAGATTTACTTATAACCACTTCCAATGTTTCAGTCAGGGTGTCATTTAGTTAACATGCAATTTCATGCACCTAGAAAAATGGTAGAATTACTGAATGTAATACAGTGAGAAAAAAGGGTCAATCAGATAGATGGACACATACCTATTCGTGACCAAAGGTTAAGTGGTGGCTATACGGGCATTTAGAATGGTCATTCATAAATCCTTGTCAGTCAGTGGCAGCAGCTAATCAAACAACGAAGCAGATTTGCTGAAAATGAGAATTTGGCCTGGTGCATTTTAACATCCATAAAGTCTCCCAAAGCTGAAGTAAAAATGAAGGGAGCTTTGGTACCCACGGCAGAAAAATTCCTTTTAAAATAGGGCAACCATCTTTTTATTGTAGTGAAAGAAAGTCTCATGTGTCAAGGTGTAGAGACTTTAAAGTGTCCCTCAGTGAATAAATCAGCAGTGTATTTAGAATGCAGCCCAGAAGAATAAAACCTCAGTTTTATTCGTATATGGAAGATTTTTCCTACATAAATGGCAAGTAATTGCAAGAAAGAGAATTAGAAAGAAAGAAAAGACTGTGAAAAAGAACTTGTCAGGTACTGGCCCTTCAATATTACAGAAGGAACTTTGTGAAGTCATTACCACCTATTCATCCACAAATTAGGATGCATTAGCATTATCTCAGCTCCTTCCCCAGCAAACTAACACAAAGGAAAACTAAACATGCTTAAGCTACAGCACTACAAATACTTCTCTATTGGCTCTCATTTCTCTAGGGAGAAATGGACTTCAGTTAGTCATTATGCATTATGGTATGTTATATAGTATTGCCTCTTTGAAGATTCTTTTAACCTGTGGAAAGTAGAAAGAAAACCTATACATGTTGACTTTATACATTACTGCATTGATACAGCATTTTTAACCACTAGGAATAATGCATCTTAAGATTCATCTGCCTTGTATTATTAAACTTTCTTGGTACACTGATATCCAATAGTTGCCGGACTTAGGCTGGCTAAGAACTTTACACTGATTCTCTCTCAAAGCCAAAAGATGTCCCCCACTACAGATGAATCCTGGTCCATGGTGCTTTCCCTCAGTGGTAGGTTTTACTGTGAGTCCAGCTCTCCTCTTTAATAGGTCCCATGTCTCCTGGAGAGCCCTGGCTCCAACACCCCACATCCCACCCACCCAACCCTGTCTTATATTTCCATACCCATTTGCACATTCTGGATCTGGATTCTCCTATTTTTAGAAGAGTCATACAAATGGCGTCATCACAGCAGAGGAATGGCGCAGTCCTTGGATAGCAGCATAGGGCCCCTGCTGAAAGTAGTGATGATACCGGGGCATGTGGAATGAGGGGAATGTCGGGCCACTCCCTTGCATGGAGCTGGCAATGGCCGATGGGGTTAGAGGCATCCCAAGTCGGCTATATGGTGGCAGAGAGCCCTGTATAGGGTGAGGAATGGGTGTAGCTATGGATGCTGTGCTGGTGCCAAGAGCAGTCAGGGACTGTGGGTGCTGAAATCCAGGAAAACTGGATGAAGATGATACCCAGGAACTGAGAGACAAATTATCAGATGTTGTAAAGGCTGATCCTGAAAGGAAAAAAAAGTCTCATTAGACTGGAAACTCTACTCCAGTGTGCAAATCAAGAATTACATTATATGAACAAATACCGTATGCTAACACATATATATGGAATCTTAAAAAAAAAAAAAGGTTCTGAAGAACCTAGGGGCAGGACAGGAATAAAGACGCAGACGTAGAGAATGGACTTGAGGACACGGGAAGGGGGAAGGGTAAGTTGGGACGAACTGAGAGAGTGGCACGGACCTATATACACTACCAAATGTAAAATAGATAGCTAGTGGGAAGTAGCCGCATAGCACAGGGAGATCAGCTTATGCTTTGTGACCACCTAGAGAGGTGGGATAGGGAGGGTGGGAGGGAGACACAAGAGGGAGGAGATATGGGGATATATGTATATGTAAAGCTGATTCACTTTGTTATACAGCAGAAACTAACACAACATTGTAAAGCAATTATACTGCAATAAACATGTTAAAAAAATAGAATTACATTATCTGTAAGAGTTAATTTTATTTTTAAAATTATGTAATATATCTATAATTTAAAAGAGAGACAGGTCAATCATGAGGCATATCTAACTTTCCACACAAGAATATATCATTTATACCACATATGGAAAAGAGAATTTACTGACTTAATAGATGGCCCGCATACTCCCTGAGAGTGGCCAAAACACTAGCAACCTGCCTGAAGGTAATGACCTGATTCCCTTTAAAGGACTTCCAAATAGCTGATATCCATCCTAACCTCTGTAGCATCCCTATAAGTAAGGCTGGACAGACAAGCCTCAACAAAGCTACCTGGTTTCCAAAGCCACTATGAAAACCCACAAGACTGTTTTTCTTTTTTTTTCTTTAGCTTCTGTAACTCTTTTATTTTGGAAATAATGAGAACATTTACTATGTTGATTACATTTAAGACAGATACACAAAATCCAAACACAATTTAATATGCCAGCTCTATTCAGCATAGCTGAGTTATGTGGAAACAATAAGCACTGTCAAAAATAAAGCATAAATACTTAGAAATTACTCTAAAAAGAAATGCATGATACTTATTTGAAGTTTTTCACACGACTCTATTGAAATAGAGATGTAAGGAAAGATATTAATAATTGGAGACACATGCCATATTCTTGGATGAAAAATAAAAATTTTTTAAAAGTCATTTATTCCCAAATTAATTTATTGGTTGAGTGTAAAGCCAATGAAATGCCAATGTTTTTTCCCTCTTCAACTCGATTCTCAAAATTATCAGGACAAATAATGACAGAATTTTAAATTTTTTAAACTTATAATAAGGATAGATTTTCCCTACCAGATATAAAAATGTTATCATGTTATAAAAACAAAATAATGCATTTATGAAAATAGCATAGTACTGAGCAAGATGAGAAGCCACATCAATAGAAAAGAACAAATTGTCAGAATACAAAATAAAGTATATATGTATACTGTATCATATATTTAGTATATAATAATATACTAAGTAATAATGGTAATATACATCATTACAAACTATCAGGAATGACAGCTTAGCGTCCATAATTTTTTATTAGATATTTGACAAGTTGCAAGACGTTTAAACAAAATTTGACACTGAATTTTCCAGTTGTATAATTACTAGTAGCTCATCTGGATTTAGCTATGAGATATACTATGTTCTGACTGTTTATGCATTCCATATCATGGACATAAAAATATGACAGAGGACTCTCCCCATGTGAACATCCCTGTGCCTGGGCACCCCCTCTGGTTTCTTTTCTCTGGCCTCCCAGATGCAGAGGGCTCCTCTTTGAACATCTGCAGCAAAGGAACTTTTTAGTACTCCCCTACTCTCACCACCTGGGCCACCGCCTCTACACAATGTGTTCACTAGGAGAATCTTCTTTTTAAAAGTGTTTTCCATTCTAGTCATTGATCCTAATAAGATATTCCTGATATAAGTAAAACAGATACATTCCCTGATTTTCAGATTGTAAAACTGAGGTTGAGAAAGACTAAGGGGCCACCCCCGAAGTCCAAATAGCTCTTTGGTAGTAGATCACAGACAAATAACTCCTGGGCCCTGACTCAGAGGCTCAATGTCCTTTTACTAGAAAACAAACTACAGGAAGGCTTTAGGCAGCATAATCACTTAAGATGCAAAGGCAAAATAATGATCAGCCTCAGGCTGTCCCTTCCTGAAGAGGCTTCTGAAATACTCTGGGGCAGTCTCTTCCCTGAGGGCTAGAAGTCTCATCACCTCCCTGTCCAGCAGTTGCATAGCCCAGAAGCGGTCTTACCTCGATTTTGTGTTGTCTGAACCTCATCCCCCAGCACATCCTCTTCTCCTCCATAGGTACGGATGGGTGAGCGGGCATAGGAATGCTTTTGAATCAGGCTCTCCACACTTTCCCTAGATTAGAGAGTGACACATCCTGAGTAAACTAAAAAGTTAAGGACTCAGAGAAGGAGAGGAGTCTTAAAGATGATTTACCAGTCAGTAAAACCATTTTATCAGCCAAAAGACCAGCACTTCAGTAAAGAATCTGCCTTCCAATGCAGGGGCCGCAGTTTCTATCCCTGGTCGGGGAGCTAACTAAGATCCCACATTCCGCAGGGCAACTAAGCCCACATGCCACAACTACTGAGCTCACTCACGCGTCTCAACTAGAGAGCCCGCGTGCCACAAACTACAGAGCCCGTGCGCCACAACTAGAGAAGAGAAAACCCTCAGGCCACACGTTTCTAGTGTTCTAGAAAACTAGAGAGAAGCCCGAGCACTACAACGAAGAGCCCGCCCATCGCAATTAAGACCCGACACAGCCCAATAAATTAATTAATTAATTAATTAATTTAAAAAATATTTTAAAAAAATACCACCACTTCAGGGAAAGATAACATTCAAAACATGTACGTTTATTTCATTGTAGATGCCTCAGAAACATGACCTCAGACATAAATACAAGAAACCTAACTGGACAGGATAAGGACAATTCCCTGAAATTCTACAAAATTAGGGTCAAAGGTGAACAAGGAGCTATAAAACCTGACCATAGGAATATGGAATTTAATGATGTGAAAAAATGACTGGTGAATTTACTACAAACAGCTGCAATCCTGTGACTTCATCAGCTAATGAATACAAAACAAATACTCACCTGATACGAACTGCACTGATTGAACATCTGATAAAATACTGGCCCAAAGTTCAGAATATCACTAGTCATAAAAAAGACTCAATGTTCACTAATAAACCTAGTAAGTGCATAGAGTATATGACAATATGGGTAGTATGGATAATGGCCACTTTGAGATTCTTGTTGCTTTAAGACTGAAAATTATGGAAAACCTATGAAGGACACATCAAGGGCCACTAGGGAATTTAAGCCCCCAAATAAATTGGTGCATTGTCTTTGTAGATGGTCTTTCTCTTGCAATATAGTCTAAAAACTAAAGAGTGTTGTTAACTTTAAACAAAACAAAAATTATTTTGGTATTTGCCAGTTCAACCTGCTGCCATTAAGTGAGAAAAACACCGGATAAGAGGTTTTTTAAAAAAATAATTATTTTTTTTGGCTGCATTGGGTCTTCGTTGCTGTGCACAGGCTTTCTCTGGTTGCGGTGAATGGGCTACTCTTTGTTGTGGTACATGGGCTTCTCATTGCGGTGGCTTCTCTTGTTGCGGAGCACGGGCTATAGGCACGCAGGCTTCAGTAGTTGTTGCATGTGGCCTTCAGTAGTTGTGGTACACAGGCTCAGTAGTTGTGGCTCGCCTGCTCTAGAGCGCAGGCTCAGTAGTTGTGGTGCACAGGCTTAGTTACTCCACGGCATGGGATCTTCCCAGACCAGGGCTTGAACCCCTGTCCCCTGCATTGGCAGGTGGATTCTTAACCACTGCGCCACCTGGGAAGCCCCCAGCTAGAGTTTAGCCAAATGATTTCTTTGCCAAAAATGGAAGTTGGTAACAGGTTAGCTTATACAGTATACATCTCCAAGAATAGCTGTGGCCTAAAGACCAACACCAAATTAACCACCAACTGACAAAAAAGGGATTTTTAAAAAGTGTGTTGAGGGCTTCCCTGGTGGCGCAGTGGTTGAGAGTCTGCCTGCCGATGCAGGGGACACGGGTTCGTGCCCCGGTCCGGGAAGATCCCACATGCCGCGGAGTGGCTGGGCCCGTGAGCCATGGC